GGACCACTTTCTGTGCAACTTACTGCTGTATATATAATTATATTACTGGGTGTAGTTTGCCAGCTCAGTGCACCTATTGGTCAAAAAAATGATAGTGTATGACTGCCACTAAAGTAATCACTTGCGGAATAAGATATGCATGGCACAAAAATATTCAATGCAATCTACTGTATGTTCTCTATAAAATTATACTATATGTTCCTATAACTGTTCCCCAATTACATTATGTTTTCCTTAGGCCCTAAGTCGTGAATAAAGCATTAGTCCTAATAAATCACACCTGCTAATTTTTATAATAATACCTTCTGAACAATGATAATGGTTATGAATTTTAAAGAATAAAATTTTTCAGTGTAGTAGCCAGACTGATAAAATGTTTAGTCTTTCTATGTACGTTTTAATATTCTTTTACTGAGAAAATAATAGGCATTTTACCTTGTAGTCTTAAACTATTCCTTCCACCAAAATTTATTTATCAATATCAAATCTGTCAATGGTTTTAAGCCTCGTTGAAGAAAAATTTTGAATTTGGTCAAATAGTTTGATTTTTGTAAAAGTGCTAACTTCACTAAAATCGTATATTCTTGTGAACCATGTCCGTATGATGAGTCTGAAACTAGCTAATTTTCTGACGTCATCCAAGGTACTCGTGTTACACGAGGCACAACTGGCTGAGGCACAACTTGAGTCTATAAGCGCCTAAAGCATTGTCTTGTAAAAGCAGAAAAAGGTAAATATTTGCTTTGCAGCCAATTGTACGAATGAGTCAAGCCTTTGCTCTCGTTTGAGTCTTCACACTATGCCTTATAATGATAAAAGGCCCGAGGCCAAGCGAAGATGGAATATCTGGGTTTTAGAGCAAAGCGTGTATTTGAGCCTTCTTCCAACACTTTGTTTAGCTCGTATAAAACCAGAAGATTTGGAGCGTCAGTTTAGTAGTTTGCCGAATCAAAGGAATGCTAATTTTCCAGGGCTTAAAAGATGAGATTAAATTTGTGTCTTTCCGACCATCCATGCTTTGGAGTCAAAATCCGAATCATTATCGCTCAAATTTCATTGCTTTCCGAGTTTTTGTCACGTATCCAAAATAAAGTTTTTGTCAGAATTAACAGACTGAACACTCAATTCTGATTTTGATTTATCGCTTTCTTCGCAAGAACATAATTTTCTCGAATCTAATAAATAAACAGCGTGAAAGAACGTATATGTTTAAAATGTTTATATTACGAATTTTAGCCACCTTTTTTATGAGCATAATTGAAAGACCTTATTTCAGTGATTTTGTATCTGCAATTATAATTGAAATTGGATTGGTGAAAGTGATTTTACGGACGTTCAAAGTCACGATTTTCAGCATTTTTGAACTTTTGATTGGTATGCTAATGACTTGTGACGTAGAAAGTTGAACACATATATCAACATGGCGTATTCTACTAGTAATCTTAATAAGAAACGCGGAGGAAAACGCTGTGTTGCTGGCGGACCTAATCAAATTAGTGCGCCAATGATTCAAAACCGAAGGAATGTCGATGCATCTGTTTCCTAAAAAAGAAACAGAGCCGCAAAGACATAGAAAATGGGTAAATTTTGTGCGTAAACATAGACCGGGTTTTGAGGCTTCCTCTATCTCGTGTCTGTGTTGTGCGCATTTTGGAGATTCTCGTTTTGACCTTAATTTGAGCGTGCAAGTCAGGCTCAAAAGAAGGTTGAAGAAAGATGCTACCCAACGATTGACGTGGCTGGGATTCCTGAACCATTACAGGACAGAAATAACCGATCGAAAACGAAGACAAGTAAGTTTACGCTTGTTTATGTTAAATTTCTTTGTCATATGTAAATTCGATATAAGTTTTGTTGATTATTCGACATACTCCATAAACCATCGCTGAAGGAAACATGCTCTCGACGAGGGGTACCATCTACTAGTGATGAAGCTGAGCATGTTGAAGTATGCACTGGGAAGCAAGCGATTCGCCATTTGAAATGTACTAAATGCTAAGCTCCAATGAAAGGACATCCTCGAGGTCAATGCTCCACTGAAAAGAATAAATTTAATTTGGTAGATGATATGGCAGTGGTCAAACATTGCTTGGAGCCTGTCTGGAATGGAGAAGTAAAGGCTAATTTATACTTATGTCGCGCTCCATGTCGCATGAGGAATATGACGTCATATCACCAAAACAGGTAACATTTGTAATTTCACCGTATTGGTTCACGTGCGCCTCGCAAAAGTCGTAACGTCGAAGACATTTTGTCGAATTGTCGTGCAAGATAATTATTATCTAATAACACGTGGTTAGTCATTTGTGTTTGTCTCAGCATATGTTTATCACAAATATGAAAAAATATTAAATCATGGATAAATTCGAAGAAAGATTAGCGGAAGAAGTTAGGAAATACCCTCATATATATAAGAATCGTCTAGAAGGGATTATAAAGACCTATAAAAACTACGAATTCATGGAAGGAAATCGCGAAAACTCGAAACAAATGATGCTGTTTGCAGACAAAAATGAATACGGGACCGATTTACGAAAGCCAAAAGCGTTTAAATCGAAGAGTGGCAATCTGGCGGAAAAATTATACCTGCTATTGCCTGAGGCGTGTCGTGGTTGTCTAGCATTTTATCAGAAATGAATTCATTTGATTCACAAAATTTTAACAATGCTGCCAATGCACTACTTGATGTAAATGTCAACATATAGTGGTGTACAGATTTCACGCGGTTGTCGCGTTTACTATAATCTTTATTTGATTGTCGGATGGCGCGGTATAGATTGCACCTCCTTCCACCACCAGCCTGAGGGTTCACCTTAGGCAAGTGATAGTACCCTTTAGCCTCCTATCTGGGCACTGATACACACCTTTCTGATGATTACAGTATTAATAACATTGAATGGTATGCATACTTGTCAGATTGAAGATGTCTATCTCACTCGATTGTGCAACTAATTAATTTTCACGATTAACTTTTTTATTGGTTTAATCTCAACATACCCTTTGCGGATGCAGTGCACTCAAGTGCGAAGAACTAATAAGATAAGTTCATGTGGCTTGCTATTTTCCATTTTACATTTATGCTATGATTTAATTCCATATATTTTTCTTTTGTCTTTTTCCCACACTGACATTGAAGAAAGATTTTCTTTCATTTAATTCCTTCAGCTTAACCTCTCAGTAGTTGCACCAATTTGTTTTATTGTTTACTCTTGTTTCAAACCATTAAACTGCATGTCAACTTATATAGTGCATCCATGTATCTCTATTTGGTTTTCATCTAGGCATATTTCCTGACGATTCTAAACTCAGCAAAAAAGGTCAACAGTTTCTACAGTGCATAAGTTAAAAGACCCTTCCATCATCGCCCCTCTGATGGTATGTAACGTTTTGTGTTACCACTTGGATATGATTTCCGAAAGTGGTAAACACAAGCAGGTAAAGGTCAGTATTCTCCCATCCCATTGACCCACAAAACCATCGCATCAACCATCTGTATGCCACAGCTCTCAAGTACCTGAAGTAGATAAAGGTTGGACTAATTATTGTTGATGAAACAATGTTGATGATAACATTTTTGTCTTACAATTTACAATCTTACATATTTAATGATTGTGATGCTGGCGTGATAAGCACGTCCATTCCTATCTCTCAATAGTGGCCCGATTGTTTTCAAGGACAGCCTCATGAACTAAAGGCCCAAATTTGGCATGCTATGTTATGCATGATATTTTCTCAATGCTGCCATCGAATGTCATATTCTGCAAAGCTGGTCCTATTGCAGCATCTGTACTCTAATGCGCCTTCTAACAAATCGGTATGACAGCATTGACAATTACACCTGAAACGTGGGAGCATCGTGGTCTATAAAGTAACTTTATGTATATTACAAACAGGAGAAAACAACAACTTACCATTCACCGATTGGAATTACGCCATCACTTCGTTGTTCTAATGTCGCAGGAGAATTCCATCAGGATCATCTTTGACACTTTATCACCATCTCCTACGAAGGTTCATCGTCATACGAAGTCGTTTAAATGCTCGACATAACCCACGGATGAGCTCGAATCAGATACGCATTCAGACATCGAATTCAATTATCTGAGCACTGATTTCAGGCCATACTTTCCGGAAAACTTGTTTTTTAATATTTTATTGAAAATACTGTCATTATTTGTTTTAAGACAAGAAAACGACAACAAAATCACCTCCTATAATTTAATATTATATTGACGGATACAGACGTGTTCAACTATCTACGTCACAAGTATCAATATGGCATGGTAAAATTCGCAAATATTGCCCGAATTTGGAGGCAAAATTAAGGAACTTATATTTATCTGTTTAAGTCCAGCGACATGTCATTCATCTTCAAATAATCAAATTTTAAATTCAGCTCATAAAAGGGGCTAAAATTCGTAATATAAGCACTTTAATAGCTAAATATGCCCAATGCTGACTATATTGGATGACGTCAAAACACCTTCTAGTGCCAGTCTCTATATACGCAATTCAAGATTCCAAAAGCTTGTTGGTTTGACCAAATTTTCGAAATTTTTCTCAGAAGGCTTTAAATCATAGACAGATTTCATATTGCTAAAAATTTTGGTGGCAATACTGAAAAGTGTCTGAGTGAGTCAGTGTCTGTTTGTCCGTCGTGATATCGACTGTGTCCTCGTTCATAGTCGCAATTCGAACGATAACGAATAGTATTGATTTCTAGTATAGTCAATGCTTGGAACTTGATAGCTACACTGTGCAGTCAGTAACCGTGCTTGTATTTTGTTCGGTATTTTATTCGTATATCACTTTGTTTATCTCTCACCCTGTATTCTGTGTTTTGGTGAGGAAAATGTAAACAGACAGGATATAGTTTTCTTTATATTTATTTCACTTAGTAATGACGAGTTGGGATTTAACACATCGTCAAAAGAACGAAGAATTTAAAAATATGATGGCCCTATGGAAAATAACTACATCAGCAATGATATATACCATGTGCAATGATATATACCATATGTACCATGTGCCTGGCCTCCTCATTTTAACAATAAACATAAAAATTAAATTGGAACAGAAACATCGGCAACATAGTCCTATCAATAATCAAAAATTCGTACAACGAAACAAACCGATTTAATATATCTTTTCACCACACCATTGTTAGACAAATAAGATATAATATTCCTTTAAAAAATCGCTTTAACTCAAAATGGCGAAGAACTTATCGTTCTATCATTATAATTTATGAGATTTATAAGGACATGACAACTATATTGTTGTTTGCATTGTTCCTTTTCACGATGTTAGCACGTGAACACCAGCAGACATAACATGCACTGAGCGTAGAAGAGCAATAAAAAGGAAAGATAATGATAATTACTATGCATTTTTATTAAACATTGAGCACAGAGAACGTTTTTTACTAAGGAAAAGTGCCAAAGGAAGGAATGATTTCATTTCATGGTATTTTCACATGAAAATATTTTTGGTTATTTTTCATATGTTATTATTATGGAATGTCCTTGGGACTTGACAGGAATGGCAGGACTTCACTTAATGAAAAATACAACACTAAGCAGTTGGACTACTGACTACTGTTTGTTCAATGTACTGTAACTCTGGTCAAGGCTACCCACATGTACACTTGTACCTATTTTTATGTACCTTGTACATCTGGGGACGGTTGCACGAAGCCTGGATAGCATTATTCGTCGGATAGTAAAATTTTCAAACTTGTAGAAAAGGTGTTTATATTTTCCTTAGGGGAAGAAATTTTGTAATCTTAGAAGCAATATTTTATTCAATGATTGCTCAGTTCAAATCATATATTCTCTTTAAGAGATTTTGTAAAGTTCAAAACAATTTGCCATCTAATGGATAAAACTATTCTGCCTTCCTGTCCGGCCGAGGTTTTCCTTTATAAATCACAATGAATTTGTACCATGGAAGTCTTACCTACTTTTTAGCTAACATTGACATGGGGTCTGTCTTGAGCTCTAAAAGAAAACTAATGGTTTTAAGTTGATGATTAATTGTTGATGTTGGTGGAGAAGCTTTAAGAATAACATTGAGGAAACAACTGTCAGGTACTGATTTATTTAATGTTTTAAATGACACGAAAATTATGATAAGCTTTTGTTGCTAAAAGATAAGCAAATAAAGCAACATCAATGGGATCTACTGTATCCTCCTCCTCAATATTACCAAATGAAAATAAGTTTGACATTACTTTACTTTGTATTCTCCTGCGTAATATTTGTGGTTTAAAACCACCACGTGATCCAATATGGACGTCAGTAAATACCACTGATCATTCAACTGAAGCAGATATTACCCGTGTCAGGTTATTTCGTAATGATCGTTTTGCTCACTTACCTAACACTTCACTAAGCTTTGATGACTTTGAAAATTTTTGGGTAGAAATAAGCGAACCATTAGTTAGGTTAGGAATAAGTCAGGATGAAATAGATAGATTGAAATGAGTTGTTTGGTAATGAAGAATGTGAAAGAATTTTGAGAGAATGGGATAGATTAAAGAGCGATTTAACTGATATTAAAACTGATCAGAGGTATTAAGAAAACAGTGGAGGGTGTAGAGAAGATTTACAACAGGTAAAGATAATGTCACAGTAATTAAGACAGAAGTACATGAAATACGACATCACCCTCACTTAGGTCCAGAAGAAGATATTTTGACAAAAAACCTTGTTAGCTGTAACTTTGAAAGTGAAATGGAATCATTATGAAAAATTTTGCATGGAACACGGGAATGGGTTTTTAAAGAGTTTTTAGATTGGTTCGAAGACGACAGTTCTCAAAATCGTGCATTTGTTATTTCTGCTGTTGCTGGTATGGGAAAGTCTGTAATTGCAGCTACTTTATGTAAACGTTATCCACAATATTTGACTGCAATTCATTTCTTTCAACACAACAATAGTCGTTACAATAAAGCCAATGTACTTCTTCAATCTTTGGCGATGCAAATTAGTCGTAATTTTCCTGCTTACAAACAACTTCTTGTGAAAAAACTTTCAGGTAACCTCTCTGAGCCTTTGAATAACATGAATGTTGAAGGATTATTTTCCCTTCTTTTTACTGAGTTGTTTTGTAAGATCTCAGAATTTCCCAAGCGAATGTTAGTTGTGCTTGATGCTCTTGATGAATGTGGTTATCCAGAAAGAGATGACCTTGCTTATTTGCTTGCTAATCACTTACACAAACTTCCGCCTTGTTTTCGGTTTGTAATTACAACCAGACCTAATGAAGTTGCTTTGAATAAGTTCGAAAAATTAAATCCACTGTTCATTAACTGTAGCGATGATCGCAATTTAGAGGATATTAAATTATTGATTGAAGAAAGAATTGGCTCTACTGATTGCCTTCCTGATGTTAAAAAGAGTTTGGCAGAAAAAACTGACGGACTTATGTTGCTTGCATCACTTCTTAGCAGCGAAGTCAAAAATCACGATTTGTTGAAAGGTTTCATACCAAAAGATCTCAGTGAATATTGCGAAATTAGCTTAACTAGATTAAGTAAGGATTTAGATTCGTTTGATATCAGTAACGAAAAGTTTCAGTCAATTTTAAATACTCTGGCTGTTGCTAGAGAACCTCTTCCTTGGGAGATGATCGTTCTTTGTTTGAACTCGAATCACATATCACTTGAGGTTAGAAAGATTGTCTCTTGTCTGTTTGTTAGCAATGGAGAAGGATGTGTTTCGTTTTTCACAAATCTTTAAATGATTGGTTGTTGGATGATCGAAACATGATTACTCAGTAAAACTTCTTGTGGTCATCGACTTGTTTTAGAATTTTGTTTAAAATCTTTGGATAACCTCAAAGCTGAAGGTGTAAACTATGACGTCATTAAACATGCTTCAGTGAGATATTCAGTCAAATATTGGTTGCTTCATTTACTTGATATTTCTGATAATGATTATATCGTTGAAAATGTTGGTAAATATCTTGTTGACTTAGAAGTTTTAGTTGCTTCTGTGTTGGTTGATGCTCGTCGGACTTTTGAAAATTTTAAATTATTCAACGAACATGATGTCTACTTTCTCATTTCTGAGGACATTCGATTGTTATTTAATGAAGTTTATTCTGTAATGACGTGGTCTTCTCTCTTTGACAATGAAGTAATTTTTGCAAAACGTTGCCAACGAAGTCAAAGATCTGTCGTCTCAAGCCACCACAATGCTTCAAACACGTTTCAAAGATTCATATCTAGAGTACAGACACGGGTTTTGTAAAGGCTCGATTATTACGTTTATATTTATTTTGAGTCTGTTGATGTTTCACGAAATCATGATTACGTCGTCTGTGGTTATTATGGATTCGTCGTTACTTTTTCATTGAGAACAAACAGATGTTTATGGATAAAAAATATTGCTGGTCAGTTTAAGCAATATGAAGAGAGAGAATTTTGCGTTGTCTTTCATCCATTCAAAGATTTGATTTTTGCTTCCCAGCTTGATACTAGATATTAATGGTAAAATTTCCTCCAGTCCGTTCCATTGTGATGATTCTTTCTAAGTTCTTTACCAACAAATGTTTTTCTAAGGATAAGTACAATGGTCACTAGTTACAAAGATACTTTGACAGTATGGGACGTTGAGAAAGGTGAGAAGAAACGCAGTATTAGATGTAATAAAGTGACCTCACTGTGTTTTTCTAATTCTGGAAAATATTTGTGTGTTATTAAGCTAAGAAAAATGGTTCAAATATTTAATGTAGCGAATAATTATGAAACATTCGTTTACGACGATCATTTACCGTCTGCTGTTTTAAGTAAGTTCGGTGTTTTGTTCACTGTTGGTCTTCATTCTTGGTGTTGTTGCCCTCGTTTTTATAGGGTGAACATTTCATTGTAAATCCCACTGGTGAGAAACTTCCTGACTTAGATCCTGATTCCCAAACTTCGTTTTTTCCTCTTGATCCTTTTGATGACAACAGATCAAGCTTTTCCTTTAAGGGTGAAATGTTATATTTTATTTTGAATAACGACAATGTTCTTTTGTTTGAATACGGATATGACTTTTATCTTTATTCAATACCGCGTGCATGTTTAACTAACAGTTACAGTTTTCGTAACGAAAATTTTGCTCAAATGGAAAATTTCTGTATCGGAGCAATGAAGAAAATTCAAGGATAATTATATAATCTCAACACATTTGACTTTGTTGTCAAAGAATGTTTTGTTAGTGACATGGTTGCTGTAGAAAATGGAGTTATTTTGCTTACGGCAAAAATATTCCTGAGCTTTGGAATAATGATTTGACAAAACTTGTTTATAGTTTCTGATGAACTAAAAGGTACAAACAAAATTTTTGAGGTGAGTGATGTATCATTTGCTTGTCAAAAACTGATTCTTTTGTGTTTTTCAATGTTGAACCAAGCGAAAAGAAATATCAGTGAATTTTGAAAATTATCGAAATGTGCACGTATTTGCATGTAGCTCTAAGTATCACGTGTTTGCTAAAGTTGAATTTAAGGATCAGATAATTTACTGTATGTGGCATGAAGACAAACTTGTTAATGGTTGGGATGACGTAATTAAGGAGGAATCGCCAATTTAATCGAGAAAAGTCATTGAAGAATACGAGCGTGATACTCGCAGTATATATTACTACGCTGCTCACCTTCAGCAGAAATTTATTAATAAATTACAGGTTTAGTATTTGAAAGTATTTGACGTTAAAACATACAAATTATTTATAGTTATACTTTTAAAGTTTTTCGCAAAGTTTTTCTTTGTTGATGATAGGTATATAATTAGTTACTTAGCTTTGATTGATTTGAAATATTTTAGGACTGTAGAATTGTTTTTCCCGCTTGTGAGAACATTTCTAACAACTTTTTATTACTGTCATAAACGCAAACTTGCTTTAATTTTTTCTTCCTTAAAGGTTCCTGTACAATGCGTGAAAATCATCTTGCCACAAGGATCAATTTGATCTTTGATGTGAAAAGTTCTCACCATTTTGGATAATGACTATATTATCTTAAAGAAAATTTTGCTCAGCTTTTATGCATGATCCCTATCATTGTTGACATTTCAATAAATGTCTGTTTGCGTATGATTTCATGAAACGACCTTTGTCTAATTTTTATTGTTCTGTACAGAGACCGCAGTGTACGATAATGTCAACATTGAGAGAGATCATGTATAAAGCTAATAATGAATTAAAGATGAAAATTCAATGACAATAAAGACAAACCATAAACACAAATGATTTCGTGTCTAAGATAATAATTTTCCTTGCACAAGAAAATAATTTTATTGACTTTATCTTATCACACAACATATAAAATGCAAACTATTGTTTTATTGTACCATAGGTTATATTTTGTTTATATACACCATGTAAACATATAATTTTCATGCAAATGTATTCAGTAGGATGGTTTTAATATGCACGATTTTCGATACTCTTTTACACCAAAAACAAGTTGTTACTAATTAAATCAGTACTATCTTGCACTGAAATAATTTCTTAATACTTTTTAATTATTGCATTTTGATATACAAAATATCTACGAGTTAAGTTGTTAAGAGACACAAAGACAGCCCAATTGTTACTTCGGTTATATGAATATTTTCATCTTTATCAATTTGAAAAACGTAAATTTATAATAAAACAATGATACCTTTGCTAATTTTTTCAAGAAAAACTAAAATTTGGCTGTCTTTCTCACTGACTATTAAAAAGTAAATCGTACTCCACTAGAAAATGACTTATCATGATTGACGTTCATCATCGTGATAAACAATTTAACCATTGAGTGGAACTGAACATGTGTTACTGTACGAACAGGAAAAGTTAACAAAAGTCAAAGAAAGTTTTGCAATATAGAGAAGCAGAAAACAAACGACAATGTTGCATATGGAAGGATGTTTGACAAGTTTTAACTTTTAATGAAAATCGATATCAAGCATTGTTACACTTTAATTTGTGAATCGATACTTTATGGGAATTATTTTTAACAACATCAAACATCAGTGGACATACTGCAAGTTACTTTGCCAAAGTTTGATATGTTTATGGCTTTTCTATATAATTCCATCGTCTACTCTTAATTCAAACTAGAAGGAGAAGCTTTATTTCAGGAAGTGACGTAATGAAAGAAATGAAAATTTTTACCATGGTTCTATGTGGATTTATTGTTGTACTTTGTAACGTCACCCAGGTCACGTGTTCATTGAAATGTCATCTGTTGTCAATTGGAAGATATGAACATTTTAAAATGGTGAAGCTGGCTGTTCACTTTGTTCACTTTTATAAACTGAAACGTGAAAATATCATCTCATGTGGACGTTTTGATGTGAACATAACGCATAAGTAATCATGAGTGAATAAAAAGATTTTTATTACATTGTGGCTATTGGAGATGGCTAAAGGTTTTTTGCTGCATCTATAATTGAAGCTGCTTGGATACAAACACTGTCATTGTGAATATTATGACACGATTTGCTTGCGCATGCTCTGAAATATATGTACTTGAATGATACTATAACATTTGTGATATGAATTAAGATCTTAACAGCAACATGTCATGAAAATTCAAAACAAACGTCAACTATGGATGGTTGTAGAATAAAAGTGATCAGTTTAGTTCATATAAATGGTCAACAAATCATTCACAACAAAAGTAACTTCAACATGTAAGAACTACATCAAGTTATGAGAATGAAAAATATGGAAAAATTTCAACGTCTTTCTTTTCGAGATGTCATTTTTCTAAATCCACTGATGTTTATTTTTATGTAGTGAACAATTTTAAATCATTAAATTTATTTCATTTTGTTATGTACATATCTCTGTATAGTGAATAGATATCTTTCATAACATCCCATAAACGGACATCTACCGTACATTAGGTCGTGGTCTCAATGATGATGTCCGTTTACGAGTAGCTTGACTGTATGCAGACTTTTCATTACTTTACTTTTCTTTACGTTTCTAGATTTTTCTTTTGCTTTCTAATTTTAAATGCTAAATAAATGAATCAACATAACTCAACACCATTTTTTAGGTAATTCACTTTGCAAACTGAATTATGAAGATTACTCGTGCTTTAGAAAGGAAGTGCCATATCTTGAATTCAAATATACCAATTTTTATAATTAGCATTCAATAGTTGTATAATAACTTTCACTCACATTCAGCAACATTATTTGTTGGAAACTGTCATCTTGTAAGGAAGTTGAAAAAACCCCCATTTTATTAAAACAGAACAATTGCAGTTGCCATTTTAACGACTGGTTGGGATTCATTCATTTAGCACTTATAAAAATTATTAGAGCTTTTTTCTTGGCAGTGTTTTGTTGAACTTTGTTTTCAACATATATTAACATATTTATTATATTAGTATGTTAATGTAGGAATTGTTGTATAAGTATGTTTTCTACAAAATTGTTACAATATATGTGTGTTAATCTATATATTGTGTCTTAAAAATTTTCACATTTGTCCACTACATCAAGGCTTTAGACATTTATTAAGTGTTTTATATAGTGAAAAAATCATAATTTTGACAACTCTTCAATTAAATCAATGTCTTTCGGAGGGGAGAGGATTGGCTGGCAAAATTTCGTTGCAAAATGCTATGATTGACCACAGAATTTTAGGTTGACTTCCGAGTGTTTTCTTAATTCTTTTTTGTTAATAGTTGATTTTCGTCGCTAAATAAGATCGAGAAACGTTTTTCAGTTTTCGGCGGTAGCCGTTTTATGATATTATTAAAATAAGCGGGCAACACCTTTTCACTTGTTTTACTGGCAGGAAAACGTGCATTTATTTCAAGTCATGTGACTACTAATGAACCAATCGCAATTACTATACAGCACCTATATAGCGATACAACTAATTGTATAAATAGACATAATTCGAAATTGATTTGCTGATTTGAATGGTTTGCAGTATTCCAAATCTAAATCAAACGACTTTCATCCATCATTAGTCTCCTAGAATTTAGTTCAGAAAAATGCATCAGTGGGACATTGTGATCAGAATTAAATTTTCAGAATAAACTGAATTTTATAATACTTTTTTATACATCCCGTATTGTTCCTTTTGGTAACACCCTTATAATGTATATATGTACGTAAAGAATGTTCATAAGGTGAGATCATCAGCTACAATTACATCTTTTACACGTAGAATCTTATCAATTTTGTTACATTAAATTGTAGCAAACAGATACTTTAATACTAATGGCTTAATAGTTTAATATGTAATTATGATCAATAAGAATCGGACATGTTGACAGGAGCTATATTAAGGGATGAAAGCTGTGAAAACGACAAAAGAACGTACCAGAATTTAAAAGTGTTTGATGTTACTTAGGCCTAGTTCAAACGTGGAACTTTATGAACCGACGCATTTAAACAAAAGATAATGAAAAATCTCATTTTCTTTTTGTCTTAAACGTTCGGTGCATGTAAAGTTCGACGTCTTAAACATGCCTTATATTGAAATTAAAAGATATTAGAAAAACACTTCAATTTTGAAGGAAAAGTAACATATATATTTTTTAATAAGCATCCTGAACACCATGTGATTTTTTTTTGTGTCTATAGTTAATTAAAATTGTATTGTTAGTCCTGATTTCAGTACTTTCTTACCGGTTTGAGGAAATGGCACATATGCCATGTTGTTTGTCATGGTGAATTTACCCAAAAACAGTTGCGATTACTTCCGGTAAATGAAGTGAATACAAACTCTTAAACGGGTTTTCGACTATAGCACTATACACTAGTTTCTATCTGATTTTCTCATCGTGGAATGTTTGGGTGTCAAGGATAAGCGTCTTCCTTTTAAATTTTGCTTCATTTTATTCTGGGTTAGCCATTAGCAGTTGATAAAATAATCGAAGCTTTGGTTTATAGAAAGGTTTATTCAACAGTATTAACTTCATAAAGCAGGCACATGTAGAAAACGCCATATATAACAAGAAAAACGGAAAGTAATCAAGTTACTGATTACGGAACACGTGATACATTATGACGTAACTATTATATGCTAACACTCCCACTTAATAGTTACATATTGTTCAAGTTTTTGTTTTTGTTTTTTGTGTTCTTTAACAAGATTGAACGTTCAATAAATTTCTGAGTTTTTGGAATTGATCTTTAGATAATCCTTGGTCATTATATCGGCTATCATATCCTTTGATGGACAATAGCAAACTTTACTTCTTTAGATAATATTCGTTCGCGAAGAAATGGTAAGCAACATCGATATGTTTAGTTCTGTTATGGAATTTGGATTTCGTGTGATTTCGAGGCACCTTGATTGTCTTCGTGAACAGTAGTAGGCGACACTGGTTTAGATCCCAAGTCAGACAACAATCGTCGTAACCAGATTACCTCTTGGGTAGCTTGGCTTAGGGCAACGTATTCAGCCTCTGTTGTCGATCTGCCGACGGTACTTTGTTTTCTTGCTAGACCAGCTAATCGTTGAGTTGGCTAACTTAAAAACATATCCTGAGGTTGAGCGACGATCATCCAAATTACCGGCGTAGTCAGCATCCGAGTACCCATGTAATTCGTCATTTTTATCACAACTGAATTTCAAACCATAACTCATTGTCCCTTTTATCTACCTCAAAACTCGCTCCACTCCTTGAAAATGAGTTTTGCTTGGATCTGACATAAACTGTGACAGGACTCCGATAGATGCAGCTATATCTGGCGTGGCCGTGGAAACGTATGTCAAACAACCAAATCTGCTGGTAAACACTCTGATCGGATTGTTCCTCACCATCGCATCTCTTTTGAAATTTCTTCCCAGTATCAATTGGTGTGTGGACTGGATTGCTGTTTTCCATTCCGAACCGATTCGGGACACTTTCAAGTATTTTCCTGATTTATGAATATTTCCTTTGTCGTCCGATCCATTCTTATTGACATCCGAGAACAAGTGAATTTCTCCTTGATCCACCATTTCGAATCCTTGCAAAGCCTTTTCTTCTCAGCATTCAGCATTTCGATGTCGTTAGAATCTGGGATTATGTCATCAACGTAGATTTCCAGTATCACAAAACTAATGTGACCATGTTCTTTTCGTTGAGTCTTCGTGTATATGCAGCTGTCTACCACTCTTTCTGTATCCGTTTGAAACCAGGAAACTATCGAGGGTTTGGTTCCAACAACGTGCGGATTG